AAAATATAAATATTTAGACTAAATAGCTTAAATCTTATAACATTATACATTTATATATATATTTATTAATATTATTATATTGACCTTTCAGCTGTGTCTGGCTAACAATACAGAAGTTACAATGATGCTGCTGCATATATGCTCTCATGTTACTGTACCCAATAATATAAAACTGACCTTTAGTCTTTACAAAGTGACCCATCTAGGCTGCATTTTAATAGACTAGTATTTTGTAAAATACAGTCACATTTCAATTATTATACATTATATATGTATATAGATTATTACTATTTAGAAATAAGTTCTTATACTGATTTTTCTTAAAACATAGAACAGTAAATAAAGAAGTAAGGCAAACAATTATCTCTTCTAGTTACAACCCTTTGTACTCGGTTGCTGCTTGACATACGTTGCTAAGCCTTTTAAAATTTTGCACTTGAAGGATATGAAACAAAATAATTTTTTTAGGTTTTATATATACAGTTGGAGAACCATAAAATCACACATTACTATATCGATACCACAGAATTCCACTACAATTTATCAAGCTTAGTAACCAAGCTGTATTTCAGTCTAAAAAATATGAAATTTCAAGCAGACTAAAGACACAACCTACCTCCTTGAAATCTTGGTTCAAAGGAATGAGATGGCATCCCAACACTTTAAAATGGCTGAGAAAGCCACTAGGAAGACATTCTGAGATTTTGATTGGTTATTCAAATGTCATATATTGAAGTAAGTGTATATTGGGGACCATTTCCAAAATTGGAAGAGGTGAGCAGGGCCATTGTGTTTGATTCAGTACATGAGTGATATCTCAGTAAATAGAAAAGATACGAGGTTCTTATTTTATATTCTAATTTGTTAATATCAGTAATTTGACTTAGAATTTTGACATCATAAACATCTAATTTGAACTAGTGCTGCATTAAAAATACCATGTGACACACAAAAATCAACGTTTAACTGTTTTTTTTAATATTTACTTTTAAATTAAGAAATTAAATAATGTATAATACTAAAAATTAAATTAAAATATACAGTTTGATACCAAACTTACTGACATAAATTCATGAAACAGAAGTTCAATAAAATTTTGAATGTGAGTCAACAAAGGCAATGACATGGCCTTTGACCCGTCTGGAGAGGGTTAAAAGGATGTACCTTTCACACACAATGTGTAATACATTTAAGTTCAGGAGTGTTTGGAAAATTGCTAAAACCAAGAGAAAAGACCTAGCACACAAAAGAGAAAGCAAGAAAAACAGAAAACACAACACCTGACAGCAAAATAAATCACATAAACTTAAAATAATTTCTCTTTTTTTAATTATTCAAGCATTACTGATTATTGAAAAAAATAATTTTGAACTTTATTAAATAGTTTACCATACATTTTACGTTGCTGGACAATCTAGCACAGATTTACAGAAGTATTATGTCCTAGTCCAGGCAGGAAAATTTTAATAGTGTATAAACAAAGTGTTTTGCTGAGTATTACTGTCCTATAGGTTTGGGGTTGGCTAAAGGTAATGTCTAAAATACATTTTTAAATAAAGATATTTCTTACTACATAATTCTTATACAGAGTACAACAATATATTTTTACAAAAAAAAAGAATTATTGTTACTGTCTAAAATAGTTTTTTGATATCTATTTGCAGCTTTATAATGATGTTTTAATATAAATTATTGGTGTTTGATATACTGAGATTATTTAAACAGTAAAACCTTTTGTCAGTGAAAGTTCTTCCTTCAGTGCTCTTTTACAAAGTTCCCAAATGTTTTAACTACTTGAAAATCGTGAAATAAGACTTACCTAACTGTTGAGAAAATTCATAAAACTGCCTGAGTTTAAAAACAAGAGGAAGAACCGATTCCCAAGCCCTTATCTGCTGGGTTCCATTTAAAGGATTTGCAATAGCCTAAATTGAGAATATATTTTAAATTAAAATACTAAAAATAAATATACAATATAGAACCTGTGATTCATTTGGATTCACTATTGAAGTGGTAAAAACATTCCTTAATAACTTCTTTGGTATTGTAGGAAAATAATAATAATAAAATGAAAGGATATGCTTCACTGGTAAAGTATATTTTTACTCATACAATTTCAAATGTGTGATGACACTAGACTATAACTATGAAGTGACGGAAAGAATTATAACTGTATAAACAAAAAATTTTTCAAATTTCAGCAAATTACTTCAAAAGTTCACATGTGCACATTGAAAAGCTTCCGTTATTTGTTATAAACTCCACTACTTGAAAGCTATAAAGCATCAGAACAAAGAACAAAAAAAAATATAAAACTAATACAAAGAGGTGCTCACAATCTACGATAACATATACAAGGATGATTGTCTTGACCATACAGCACCTTTTTTTTCACCACTGATGGTGTTCTATGTGATGATTGAAATTGGACTATTGCACTACAGTGTAATTTCAACTACACAATGCACTGATAGTAGATAGTTTTGAACAGTGAAAGCTATTCCACCAAATAGACTGAGACAAATACAGACACACAGACAAACAACAATCCAGTACAGATTTTGCCAATGATCTAGCTGTAAGTATAGGTTTGATTGTTACCTCCAAAAAGTAAGATACAGATTAGCATAAAGCAGCCTCAGAGGATATGTAGCTGCTTAAAAACCTCTGTTTAGGAAAGAGAGCAAAACCAAAAGGCTGAAATGTGACATCAGACTTCAAACAACGGAATGGGCAAAGCTGGACAAGGGTGTGATTTACATATGAGTACAAATTAGAAATTGTTTGGCAAAAATCAACAATAGTTTGTTCAAAGGCAGAGAAGAGAACAGTATCAGGGTCGACATAAAACATCTACAATGAAGCCAGTTATCGGGTCAATATAGGTGTGGGTCATCTAAGAGAATGGTGTTGATGATCTACAAAAAATTTATAGCATCCTTACTGCTGACAGCAACATGCCGATTTGTATCCATAATATCATTTCCACATAAGACCTGTTAGGCAGGGATTCATCTTCTTGCAAGATAATGATTCAACCATGCAGCAAATGTGGTGAAATGATACCTAGCGAGAAAAAGACCAATGGAACACTTGAAATTCATAAACTTATGGTAGCATACAAACTAAGGGCTTATATGGAAATTTAGATGGTCACACAACAACTCAATAACTTGGCTGAATTGTAGGGTGTAATAAAAGATAATGGAACAATATTTCACAATTATATATTGATTAAGTTATTGTAGCAAAAAAACAAGGTGTACTACTCTGTTTAGAGCAAATATGAAATACTAGTACACTGTACAACTTTATCACTTTTCTTTAGTGCTTTCTATAATAATATACTTCAATAATGATAAATCGAACATATGGTTGCAATTACTTATTATTTGTCATTCCTGTATGTGCATTATCTGTGCTTTTGAAATTTCATTTTTATAGATCATGTTTATGTATTAAATTTCAAATAGTATGCTATTGTAAAACTAAACTGTTTCAAGTTCTCTCTCACTGATGTACGCATAGCAAAAATCACAAATTTATATCTAACACCTAGCATTTCAATCTACTGATATAACAGATTTAAAAAATTATTAGACACGCTCCAATTTGCCTACAAATTTTGCATAACAAATATGTTGAATAAAGAAATATAATTAAGACATTCAAACAAAATTTTCAAGTTTCTTAGTAGTCTAAATATTATTTATGTTATCTGGAGTTCTGACACAAATAACTACATTTCAAAATAATGGATACATAAAATTATATACACATACACAAATGAAAAAAATCTATTACATTTCAATAGCAGACTGTTATCTGAAATAAACTAAAATATGCTACTTGACATGCAAGACCGAATTAAGGATTTCAAGTTGAGGTGTGGGGCAGATAAATTTTGTAGGGGAACCCTCATAATCAAAACTAAGTTTCATAAATAAATCAAATACAATTCAATACTATTTATTAACTATATTTTGAGTAACACAAATATAAGTTATGGGTAGGTGAAAAACAAAATACTAATTCTAATATTTATAATAAATATAAAGCAATGAAACCAATCTATTTGTTAAATATTTATTTGTTATTTTTTGTTAAGAAATATTTATGAAAGCACAAGCTGTGTGAACACATTAATTAAAAATTACAAAATAATAGGTTTATATGAAAAGAATAAAAAACCACTGTTGTCATAGTGACACAGTAGCAAGCACATGTTTTCAATGAGTTTGATGATTTTTTATTTTCTCTTAGTTGGGAAAGGAAAGTCAATCAAGGTGGCCAAGGCAATTGCACCAATTTGCCCTCCTAATACAGCCCTGCTGACAGGTATATATAAATTTTGTCCAAATTTTTATATACCCAATATATAGGGTAAAATTAGTTTTAAAATTTTATATCATTTGCTTCTGTAAAGAAGAAAATAACAATTGACATTGTATGTAAGATACTTAACCATTTTGTTTTTAAATGGATCACTTGATATTACTTTTGTAATAAATAATGTGTTCTTTAAATTTTCAAGGCATAATTATATTAGCTCTTGACTTACTGCACGGATCTCATTTCCTGCTCCCTTGTACATTTGCAGCTCCTGTAGGATATCCTTAGTATGCTGCAACACTTCCTGAACAACCAAATAGGTATCTTTCTCAGCTTCTGATGGTTGAGCATCTGAAATTGAATACAATACCTAAATGTGTCTGATAACCAACTAAGGATTGGTCATTAATTGATACTTCCACAGGCCCTTCATTAATCTGCATACCAACTTCACATAACAGCTAGTAGGTGGTGGTTAAAAACATCTTCATAACACAGGTAAGCTTTCATATGATGTTATTCAGAAGGGAAGTCTGCTTCAACTCTTGAGCTTCCCCCCTGCCTTTCTATCACAGACTGTTGTTTTTTGCACATCAAAAGATATTAAGGATTACAGTTAGAAAGATAACTCAAATAATAACAGCATCAATTTAGACATTTTGAAGAAAACAAAATGTTTAATAAATAACTGCACAATTTTGTATTTATTTTAAAAAATTCATGTATTTAATTTCTGTCTCGATGTTTTTTTAAGGTCACTCCTACCTTTTGGAAATGACAATTCAGTTGTTACAATAAGATTGTGGTAATCAGGTATCAACTGTTGTTCTGGTTAGTAGCCAATATGATTACCTAATTAATTACTCTTATTAACTGTTATTATTAGATACTTATTACTAATTAGTTCATATCCTACATTTACACTGTTGATCTGCTGCCATTTTAATGGTTTCAAGATGGTTATCCAGGTATTACTGAATTCCATGCTATGTTGACTGATTGTGTGTTATCAGTTAGATGAAAAAAAAAAGACTTCTTTTACCGTTCTTATCATGAGTAGTTCATATCCCATCGTGTTAGTATTAGTTCATTTTATTGTATGGTCTTCTTCCCTGCTATGATGAGCTATTGAAGATAGATCATTATTAAAGTACCATATGTTTATTATGCTCCTGAAATCTGACTTCTGTTGATCTTTTGGTTTCTTCAATGCATTGGAGGCCATCTGTGCAAAGAATGCTGTAAATTGTGTTTTTGCTCTCCATTGAGTTTTTAAGATGTTTAGTGCTTACTAACTTCAATCATATTGTGTTATAGCTTCCAAATACTGTTTCGACTTGATGCTGTATTTATATCCTCCGTACGTTTGAGATTTTTTTGCTCTAGAGGAATATGGCTGTGTGTCTCTAATTTTCTTTCTGTTTATTCATGGTGTTTATCTTCTTTATTTCCTTCTTTATCAAATATTCATTGTCAAAGAAGATTGTAGTAATGAGATTTTTCTTCCTTCTTCTTAGCATCTCCTATATTAAAAATACTACTAATTGATGAATATGCGATCTATGATGTCCATCTTTACACTATTTAGATGATGTGATCTATAGTTTAGGTATCTGTGGGTTTCCTGTAAACTCTTGTGGTTTATGAACAACATGTTTTCAAAATCATCATGTCTAGGAGTGAAAATTTGTTATTTTCTTCTAATTACACTGAATTATATTGCTGGATGTTGTCTGTTCAGGTGGTTCATGAATTCTAAAGAATGGAATGTGAAATCTCTGCAATTAAATGTGGAATGAAGAGGGTAGCCTCACTTGTGAAGTTTAGATAGACAAGTGTTAAAAAATATAACAAATCAATAATATTGTGCTCTTAGTCCTTAGCCTAAAAATCTGATTTGTAAGTGACCTAAATAAAATTCATAATATTTAAAGTCTACTTACTTAATCAAGTTAACACTATAACAGTTATTGTTCATGAAAACTGATTATTTAAATAGCACCTAGCCTACTGCTATGTTTGATGAATCCTGATATTGCGCAAAAGGCCTCATTGGCACTGGATATGGCAGGTGTGATGCTGAGACAAATTATACGATATTTTTTGCTTTCATTTCTAAGTTCTTATAACAGACGTGTGGGGTGATGCTGTGGTATACTATTAGCTATTTCACTGTTTCTCTTTTAAGTTCTTTTTGACATTTCTTGAGAAGCTTATTATTTCTTTCTCTCTCTCCATGTCAGCTGTTGGGTTAGGCTCGGTCTTCTTGTTCTGACCATCTTCAACTAGTTAAAGCTTGATAAGAGTGTATTCTTCTTTGTCAATGATTACAGTAGTAATATTTTTGTACACTGTTGAATTACTATGGTATTATCTGAGGGCAGTTTTTTCTCCTAGGGATGTTAATATAGAGTTTGCAGTTCATCTTTTTGAACTGATGACATTATTTTGATTCTGATTCCTTTTTCTTTTTGTGATAGATCATAAGTTGTGTCTTCTGTGGTTGTAGCTATATCTAGGAGGTTCTTTTGTTATGCTTTAAAGTGTTTAAGTACTTTACATAAGCTTACTACTGGGCATTGTGTTCAGGTGTGTCTTATGAGACTTGTTGTTTTGAGAACAAATGAGTCAATTTCCTTAGTACATAAATATGTGTTTGTATAGTAAGAAGTTTGAAAAGTTGTGTAACTTGATGGAGTCTATGTTGTCTGCTGTATTATCTACTTCAGATATAGACCAGTGTTATTCTGTCTTTTATTTATTTATTTATATAGTGATATTTTATTCTATCTTGTAGTGTGGTTTTAATATTTTTTTTAGTTAGTCTCTGATGACATGGGGCATTGATAGATAATTTGAAATACTTTAAGAACTATGTTGTCTATATTAATTAAGGAAGGTGAGATGGTTATCTATTTTACTTTATTTACAAGTATGTTCTTCTAAATCACAAAAGTTATTATTTTCCTGTATAAAAAAATGTTTTCAAGCAACAAAAACTAACTGCTCGCTGAAGGTCAGGGATTCAGAGCACAATAGGGGTTAATAACAGGCATGTCTTGAGAAGTGGATTTCTGGGGAAAGTGGGGGTTTTGAGAACAATATGGGTTAGGGTTTGCCAAACACTGGCACTCAGTTGACCTTAGCCCAACAGGACAAGTTGATTGAACCTGGGAGGGGCCACTCCAAGGCCACCCGTTTACAGGAATTCAAGGCCAAAGTGGTGTGTTGCAGTGCCCCAGACACCACTGAACTACCAGGATCCTCTCCTCCCCTTCACGGGTTGCCACGCATGGCAAACACGTGGGTGGATGTTCAAATACCAGAGGAGGTAAACTGAAAGTACAGAACCTTCTCTCAGAGGTCCCCTCACCATGTACAAGAATACACCTTGAGGGGTGTGCACATTGACCCCTACCCATGAATTTAAGGTTAAACCAATAACTTGAAGTAGAGAAGATATTCATCAAAGGGTAAATTTCTTTTGCTAAGAGATAAAAACTGCATCTTACTAAATTCTTACTCTTACAATTCGATCAAAAACAAAAATCATGTAAATGCATTTTCTTTTACTTACTTTCAAAGTCCACAAAAACATTATACTTTGGGGTTTCATCTCTGGACAGAAGCCTGAGGAGGTTCCCCATTCTCTCTCAGTCTTCTCTTCACCTGAAATCAAATTGAACACAACAAATAATTCACATGTATTTTCTACAAAATTATTACTATCCTTTCTTTCAAACAGATTAAAAAGTTTCACACTTTTTAAATAGTTAAAAAAATGTTTGTGGAAATAATTTCTCATCTTGATAAATTATTAGAAAAAAAAAATCTGCAATAGATGACTTCTGCCATGTTTGATGACATTTCTTTTTTTTCATTACTCATAGATTTTGCTTAGATTTTAGAAATTTGTTTCTCTTGAAAAAAAAGAAGAGTTAAAGAGGATCTGTTTGAGATTGATTGTTAAGGGAACTTACAGTTTAATGCATTATCTTTTTTTCATACTTAATAGTGATAATAGTAGGACTAGAAGACACAAATGTGAATTTTCACAGACTAGGAGTCATCTTCAACTCAGACAGTTTTATTTTTCTAACAGAGCGGTTGACTTCTGGAATGGATTACCTTCAGGTGTGGTGGATGCAGTTAATGTAAGGGAGTTTAAGGGAAGGCTTGTTAAATATTTGAATAATAATGGCTGGTTGGTTGGTGTTTTATGACACAAAGCAGCTAGGCTATCTGCGCCAAACAACCGGTAAAAGCAATGTAAGTAGATTAAAGTAAAATGTAAAAAAAACAGCAAGTTAAAATCAATACATGTCGGTAAAAGATTTATATATAGAATTAAAGAGACGTATAGTGTGTAAAAAATTAAAAATACAATCTAGTCGGACAGTGTCACCATTACCAATGACACTGTCCAGCATCAGGGGTAAACTTTTAGAAAAAATGTGTCTAAAATGGTGCCGCCGCTCACGGTCGTAACGACAGTAAAATGTGGGCTATTGTGACTTAAGTGTCACAATGGCTACACATCGGTGGGTCAATACCTAATAAAAGAAAACGATGGGTTAAAAAACTATGACCAATGCGTAGCCTTGCCAGGACTACTTCCTCCTTCCGATCCTTACGGAAGCAAGACGGCCAAAGACCAACAGAAGGTTTGATCTGGAAAAGCTTATTATGGCATTGCTCACTCCAAGTCAACTGCCAACTGGCACAAAGCCGCGCCTTGAAGACAGGACCATAGTCCATGTATGGGACAGGCACGGCCGTGATGGTACCAGAGCAGACGGACTTAGCTGCGGTGTCAGCGAGCTCGTTCCCGTGAATACCGACGTGGCCAGGGATCCTGAAAAACTGGATGGAAATAGAAGATAGAGAAAAGTGGGCCAATCGGTGTTGAATATCGACAAGAACAGGGTGAGAACTAACGTTAAGCGATTCCAGGGCCAGTAGAGAACTAAGAGAATCAGTGTAAATAGCACAATTACTGTACTGCATAGCTTCTACATGATCCAGGGCAAGAGAAATAGCATATAACTCAGCAGTGAACACAGATACTGTAGAGGGGATCCTGCGAGCAACTACCGAGCCACAGCAAACCATGGCAGAACCTACAGAGTCACCTGATTTTGAACCATCCGTGTAAATGGGAAGAGAGGAATGGTTCAAAAGATGTTCAGCAAAAAGAAGACGGTACTTCCAATCGGAAGTATCCGCCTTCCCCAGATGACTCAAGGAAAGGTCACAGGATGGGATGGTAATAAGCCATGGTGGAATGAGCTGATCATTGGGGACAGCAATGTCATCCAATGCCAGACCCAATTCAGCCAATAATGCCCGGATACGAAGGCAAAATAGAGGAATAGCAGACCGTCTGTTCTGAAATAGCATTGCCCACCGAGGAAGAAAAACACAATCCCAGGTGGGATGCCATGGTAAGGATCGAAGCTTAGTAACATATTGTAAAGAAAGTTGCAAACGACGGAGGTAAAGAGAAGGTTCGTGGGACTCAGTGTACAGACTCTGGACTGGAGAAGTGCGAAAAGCACCGGTGCAGAGCCGAAGCCCCAGATGGTGAATGGGATCCAGCATCTTCAGGGCCGAGGTCCTGGCGGAACCATAGACCAAAGACCCATAGTCCAGTTTGGATTGAATTAAAGCATGATAGATCCTGAGCATAGAACATCGATCCTCTCCCCAAGAGCTGGAAGAGAGAACACGGAGGATGTTCAGAGCCCTTGCACACTTGACACGCAACTAAGCTTACGGTCAAAGAGAAGCCCCAAGAACTTTGCCCCAGGGACCACACGAATGACTATATCGCCGAGACAGAGCTCGGGATCGGGGTGGAGACCCCGTTGGCGGCAAAAATGCATGCAAACGGTTTTAGAAAAAGATAATTTAAAACCATTTGCAGTGGTCCATGTCAACAACCGATTGAGGGCAGTCTGAAGCTGCCACTCAATAAACCTCATGTTCGACGACTGGCACGAGATGTGGAAGTCATCGACATAGAGCCCATTTGCAACAGTCAGAGGAAGATTTGTAGTGATGGCATTAATTTTAACACTAAAAAGTGTGACACTCAAGACACAGCCCTGAGGGACTCCAAGTTCCTGTGGGAAGGAACGGGAAAGAGTGGAACCCACACGGACTTGGAATCACCTGTTCTGTAAAAAATTGTGGATAAAAATGGGTAAATGGCCACGCAACCCATAGGAGTGGAGGTCCTGCAAAATTATGACACTACGTGGAGGTACGGAAGCCTTCCCTGATCGACGTTTCAAGTTGAATCAGATGGTCCATGGTGGATCGCTGTAGACGGAACCCACATTGTGTGGGTGAGAGGATCATGTTTGATTCCAGGAACCAAACAAGACGAGCATTAACCATCCTCTCTAGAACCTTATAAAGACAACTAGTCAAAGCGATGGGACGATAATTAGAAGGAATCTTGGGATTCTTCCCAGGTTTGGAGAAAGGGAGGACAATAGCCTGGCGCCAAGCATCTGGAAAAATATGATCCTGCCAAATCCGGTTAAAAATAACCAGAAGAATAGCAAGAGAGGCAGGAGAGAGATGGCGCAACATCTCATAATGAACATCATCAGGTCCGACCGATGTACTGCCAGATCGATGAAGAGCAAGTTTGAGTTCCACCACCGTAAAGGGGTGATTATAATCATAGAGACGATCGGCCCGAAAAGAAAGAGGCGATCGCTCTGCTCGAGACTTTATGGCCAGGAAGGCAGGGGAAGAAACAGAAGTGCTAGATGCATGAGAAAGGCTCTGGCCGAGAGCATCGGCAATGCTCTGGACATCAGCAACTTCCTGGCCATTGGAGAGCAAGATGGAAAGGGGATGGGAAGCATACCTCCCAGTGACTCTCCGAATCTTGTCCCATACAGTTTTGGAATTAGTGGTAGAAGAGATGCTAGTAGTGAACTTTATCCAAGACTCCTTTTGGCTTTGACATTGAACCTGCCGAGCATGGGCACGGGCTCGCTGATAAACAATACGGTTAGAAAGAGTGGGATACCGTCGAAATGTATCCCAGGCCCGTTTTTGAGCCTTCC